GGTGTTGTGTGAGACTCTTTATGAGTAGGGTGAGACTCTTGGTGTGTGTGGTAAGACTCTTGGTGTGTGAGGTGAGACTCTTGGTGTATGAGGTATGACTGTTGGTGAGTGGGATGAGACTCTTGGTGTGTGAAGTGAGACTCTTGGTGTGTTGAGTGAGACTCTAGGTTTGTGGAGTGAGACTCTTGGTGTGTTGAGTGAGACTCTTGGTGTGTTGATTGAGACTCTTGGTGTGTGGAGTGAGACTCTTGGTGTGTTGATTGAGACTCTTGGTGTGTGGAGTGAGACTCTTGGTGTGTCGGATGACACCCTCGGTATTTAGGGTGAGACTCTTGGTATGTGGGGTGAGACTCTTGGTGTGTAGCGTGAGACTCTCGATGAGTGGGGTGAGACTCTTGGAATTTGAGCTAAGACTCTGGTGTGTGGGGTGAACTCTTCGTGTATGGGGCGAATATATGGGTGTGGGTGAGACTCTTGGTGTTGTGTGCGCTTGATAAGTGGGGTGAGACTCTGGTGTGTGGGATAGACTCCTGTGTGTGTGGGGTGAGACTGTTGGTGTGTGAGGTGAGACACTTTGTGTGTGTGGGCGAAACTCTTGGTGTGGGGTGAGACTCTTGGTGTGTCGGGTGAAACTCTTGGTGTTTGGGATGATACTGCAGGCGTGTGGGGTGAGACTCAGGCGTGTGGGGTGAGACTCTTGGGTGTGAGGCTGAAACCTTGGTGTACGGTGAGACTCTTGGTGTGGTGTGAGACTCTTGATGAGTAGGGTGAGACTCTTGGTGTGTGGGGTGAGACTCTTGGTGTGTCGGGTGTGACTCTTGGTGAGTGGGGTAAGGATTTTGGTGTGTGGGGTGAGAGTTTGGATTGAGAGTGAGATTTTTGGTGTGTGGGGTGAGACTCTTGGTCTGTGGGCTAAAACTACTGGTGTGTGAGGTGAGACTCTTGGTGTGTGGGGCGAAAATCTGGGTGTGGGGTGAGACTCTTGGTGTTGTGTGAGACTCTTTATGAGTAGGGTGAGACTCTTGGTGTATGGGGTAAGACTCTTGGTGTGTGGGATGAGACTCTTGGTGTGTGGGGTGAGACTCTTGGTGTGTGGGTCGTGTAATTCACATCTTCAGGGGTGAGTACAGACGGAACAGATTTACAGTAATAAGATGTCCTTGAGTCTGGGCTGTTTATATTATGTCTTCCTTGCGGTCTGTCTGTCTTGTCACCCCTGAAGATGTGAATTACACGAAAGCGCTTGGGAACTTCGTGTTTTCTTCTTTCCTTGTGGCTATCAGCATATACTTAAAGAAACCCACCCCCCCCCAAAAAAAAGTGATGTGTCAACTGCCATACCTGGGAGACGATCAGTCTACACCGTAACGTTTGGATAAGCAGCACATAAAAGGGTATTAAATAAAACCTTTGAGTTAATTAATCTATATGCCGAGGCAGACAAGGACCAGTGCCGGAAAGACTGCCGCCTCTCCTTCAGCCTCTGTGGGTGGTATAATGTATCGGCCTTTTCGAGTCACATCAGAGCGCACCAACGAAGATTATATCGCTAAAACTGCGTGCAATAAAGTCGTCCCTCGATGTTCGTTATATTCGAATGCGAGTAATAGTAGTAGTGTCCGCGTTGGTGTCATTGTTGTTAATGCAGAAGCAGATGTGTTAAGTGTGTATGGCAGGGGAAGTTTATTTGTCTAAGTAACCCAGGAAAGATCACCTTCTTCAGGCAATTTCACTAATGTGTCAAGGGACTTCAGTCGATAACGAGAATAGGCGGCCATTAAACTTTTAAAATGGAGATGGCTATAATGTTATATAGATGGTAACAGCTTTCGTATCACATTTAGAATGAATATATTTTAGTTCTCGTTCGAATTTGTATCGAGATTTGATTCATTAGGAAATATTATAAGAGTTTATGCTGCAGTACATACCTGTTATGATTAGGGAGTTTCACAGAATCAGTAACTCAGAGAAGGTATGATGATGTGCAGAAAGTATGGTGTTCATCCTTCAAGAGGAGGAAAAACAAATGGTGCAGATGTTGTTTGTACAAAGATTGATGTTTTTATTTGTTTCAAAGGAAATGGTAAAAACTTGCCTAGACGAGGCTCTGCAAAACTTATATATGGACAATAAACCGCGCCCGCCCGTGTGTGTGTGTGATAATAATAATAATAATAATAATAATAATAATAATAATAATAATAATAATAATAATAATAATAATAATAATAATAATAATAATAATAATAATAATGGTGATAATCAGAGAGAGCTGAGAGGGTCAGTGTGTTGAGCTCGTTTTGATATGTGGAGTAGGAGGGGGAGAATAATTTTTCATTTTTTCTAGATGTTTTCGTTGTGTGTCATTTAGAGAGGAAAGCCAGGCAGGTAAGCATAGGTGAACTTGGACGTCGGGCGTCGGGCGCCTTAATTCCGAGGGACTTGAGACGGCAGAGAAGGTGAAGACGAAAACTGGACGTGTGTTTTCCAATTTATTTTGTTATATATTGTGACGCCGATGATCTTGGAGGAGTCCACAACCTAGGGTGTGTTGGTCCCCAGAGGTTGGTCAAGGTCAGAGAAGTTGATGTGAATAGCCATGATCGTGGTATGGTTGATGGTGACATGGTTGTTGGTGGCCCAATTTTGAAGACTGATCAAGATATACTGGAGGGCGCTGTAGTCGGGAGCCGAGTTGTTCACACTAATCCCAATGATGGAATGGAGAGGGAGTTTCCCTCAGGGCATCATTGATAAGCATAAGGAAGCAAAGCGGCCTTGGGGAACGCCATAGGCTTGGCGTCGGTCACTAAGAAAGTCTGTAATCCATGATTAAGTTGTGGTCAACTAGGTCGAATGCCTTGTTGAAGTCAATGAAGGCGACAGCCACAGACGTGTTTCGTGTTTCCAGATGGCGGTATATGTAGTCGAGAAAGCTGACAACACAGTCAGTGGCGGAGGAAGTTTTCATATTGCCATATCTATGGCTCCTGCAGTATCAGCATAAGCCCTGTCAATATCGACACTTTCGCAAATTAAGCCTCAGGGGAACGAGAGCTTCGGCTAGAAAGCCGACAACAGCTGCAGATATTGACTATGAGGCTACAGTCACTGAATGCCGAATAGATCTGCGGCTCAACTAATTCAACACAGCTAGGATAGCTACTCATGTATTCGGATAATCAATATTAAGGTAATAAAATGGCGGCGAAGGTGTGGCCTATGGGGGTTGGCTGGAGGTCAATAAAAAAATGGGGTAATGGCAATGGGTCGTAATTCATTTAAGGATTGTGGGGTCGTTGACTAGAATATTGGGGACACATATGAGGTCTTCCAGTCAGCTGAGCATCTTGCTTGGCTGAGAGAAGCATTAATGATAGAGCATAGAGGCTTAGAAAGTTCCGGGAGAACTCCTTATATAGTTTCATTGATAGATCAATGGAGCGCTTTATCCTCAGTTTTTCCAAACATCTTGCTACTGCCAAGCTGGGGGAGAGTCTGGCATATAGTTGCGAAATGGTTGTTAGATTGCTCAGCTGTACTACCATTCGTGAGATGGATAAGGAAGGGGAGGGTGTGAGTCTTATTGCTTAGTCTACAGAATTATTTAAGTTTACCATACCAGCTGGGTGTAATCTGATGGACTTCTCCGGGAAGCAGTGGTGATGAACTTTCGTGTTAGTGTTGATGTAATTTGTTCATATGGTGTCTACTTCAATCAAACTTAGTACTTCATTCCAGGGATGGTGAACTATCCACTGTCCAAAGAGAAGCAATGCAGAGTCAGTAATCGACCTTTAGGTCTTGCTGTAAGGGCTATGCGTGTGTCTGGTAGAGGGAAGTGGAGACCAAAAAAAACTAATAGGTGAGTTCTACACCCGATAGGAGGCACTGGTTGAGGTGGTTGGTACTGGTCCGTTAAGTCAGTTAAGATAAGGTCTAGGGTGTTTTGATCGTGCATAGGGAAATTCACATCTTGTGATAGAAGCAGCTTGTCCTTGATATCAGTGGTATCAATTTCGTTAAAATCCCCACACACTACTAACTTCGCACATAGGTACCTAACTCTGAGGTGGTAATGAGGTGATTGATAAAAATGTCTCCGGTGGGTGGGCGAGGCGGAAGGTATACCACATAGTATATGAAAGAGGCAGTGTAGCGAGGGTGAGCACATGGTAAAATACGTTCCCATAATGCCTCCACATCAGCTGGGACTAAGGCATCCAGGAGCGGCGGATGTAGTTCATTCTGACAGAATGGGGCAACGCCCCCTCCAGGTGCATGTGTACGAAGGTACCAACAAAGTACCCACGGGTTAGTACTACACTCCTTACTGGTGATTGTTATTGTGAATCATGCTTGTTATTTCCTTAGGATACACTATTGGATCACTGTTTGATAACCACTCTTTGCTTTGGGCACTTTAATATTTTGTTCGTAAATCCCGGTATAGTGAGGTTGGTAGGGAGATGGGGGAGGTAGGGTGGAGCCGGAGGAGGGCAGGGGCAATCAGACTGACTAGGATGCCAGTGGGAGTGCCTATAGGACACACGCCTTGTCTTTATGAGTGTTAACAGATGTGTGTGGGTGTGTGTGTGTGTGTGTGTGTGTGTGTGTGTGTGTGTGTTCTAGGAAGGACAAAATAGTGTTTCTTTCTTTATTGCAAAGGAAAATTATATTCTGGGTATTTTCAAATCATTCATCTTTTTCATCTTCCCTTGTTGCTATCTATCCTCTCTCCATTTTCTTTCTCTCTCATACACTCATCCATCTCTCACCACCCCCTTCCCTCCCTCCAACACCAGCGTCTCCTCCTTTTCCTATCTCCTTACCCCATATGTCTCTCCACTCTTTCTCTCCATCCTATCTTTCTTCTCAAACTACCTTCCTCTCCTTTCTTCCATAAACATCATATTCTTTTTTTTTAGCGTCTCCCTTTACTTCCTCCCCCTCTCTCTCGCCCTTCCTCCCTTACTCTCTCACTTCTTATTACACACCTGTGACCACGTGCACGGTGACGTTGGCAGGTGTGGCCAGGTGAGGCTCGCAGGTGTAGGTGCCAGCGTCTGATGGCCTCACACGCATCACTACGAGGCTGCTGGTGTAGTTGTGGTGGTGCACCTGTTGGAAGAACACTTGTTATTTTGAGGAACATTTTATAGAACACCTGTTATAATTGTTAATGTGTTTCACCTAGGAGAAGACAGCTGCCATTGTGGTACACCTGTGGACCACCAACTAATATTATTGTGCAAGTGTGTAGGAAAGATTTCTTCTTTTGCGGTGGACAACACATCTTTTAAAGGGGGGTACACCTGCGAAACGCCTCGTTGAGAGAACAAGTGTTCTTGTTGTGCATCTTTGGTAGCACCACTGTTATTGTTGCAGAGTCCGATTAAACATGGCACTCGCTCGCACCCAGTAAAGAGAGTCCCTGGTCCACGCCCTGCTATAGATGGTCACTTAAGCTTACACTGCCCCTAGCAGGTCATCACGAATATATGGCACACATTTACTTTCACTTCACTTGTTTCTTAGATGCAGCTGTGTGAGATTATATAAGACCTGTTTTTGAGAGTGAGATCACCTGTTACTACTCATGTGGCAAGAATATAAATGACACCATGGTAACGTAGTAAAGATGAGCTGTTACTGTGGTAGTGTGGGAGAGATCACCTGTTATTATGGAGTAACACAAAAGGCAACAAGATTAAGTGACACTTGTTACAATTGTCAGGTGTTATACTGTAGGTGACGTGTTATAGGTGTCAGGTGTTATAACTGTCAAGTGTTATAGGTGCCAGGTTTTATTAGTGACAGGTGTTGTATTAAGGGTGTTACTAGAGTCAGATGTTGTATTACAGGTGTTGTTAGAGGCAGGTGTTGTATCGTAATATTGATAAAGGTAGTTGTTGTATTAAAGGTATTGTATTACAATTGTTGGTAGAGGCAAGTGTTGTACTACAGGTGTTATTAAAGGTATGTGGTATATTACAGATGTTGTTATGTTGCATTACAGGTGTTGTGTTGTATATGTTGTTAGAGGCAGTTTTTTTATTGCAGGTATTGAGAGCGGCAGTTGTATTACAGGAGTTGATAGACACAGGTGTTGTATTACAGGTGTTGTTAGAGGCAGGTGTTATGCCGTACGTATTATAGATATTGTTTGAGTCGATGTTGTATTATAGGAGTTTTTAGAAGCAGGTGTTGTGTCATAGATGTTGTTCGAGGTAAGTATTATATTGCAGGTGTTGGTAGAGGCAGTTGTTGCGTCATAGGTGTTGTTATAGGTAAGTGTTGTATTACAGTTATTGGCAGGGACAGGTGTTGTGCCATAGGTATTGTTATAGGCAGGTGTTATATTTCAGGTGTTTTTAGAGGAAGGGTTGCGTCATAGATGTTGTTTTAAGCACGTATTATATTACAGGTGTTGGTAGAAGCAGGTGTTATATTTCAGGTGTTTTTAGAGGCAGGGTTGCGTCATAGATGTTGTTTTAAGCAAGTATTATATTACAGGTGTTGGTAGAAGCAGGTGTTGTGTAATAGGTATAGTTAGTGACAGGTGTTGTGTTGTAGGTGTTTTTTGAATTTGGTGTTGTATATTTTAACCTTTGCTGACATTGTCCCTTATTTGTCTTCAGTAAATTTAAAGCCGGTGTGTGATGTCACTTTTGTCGGCTTTCCACATGAACACCTATTATGAATGAGTCTTTTTGGCAGAGGCAGCCAGACAGACAAGTAGAGAAATATCCAGAAAAATATCCAGAGAGCTCACCTCGAGTGCATGTTGCCCGTAGTTGACCATGGTAGAGTTATGGTACCAGAAGATGTAAACTGGAGGAGCTACAGCATGACGCACGTGACACTCCAGGGCTAACTTGGACCCCTCTTCGATGTGCACCTCGCTAGTCCCGCTAACCACCGCCTCCGCCTCTGTGTGTACCGGGAAAATATTGGTTAGTTTACTACATGACGGGGAATTTATCCAACGTTCTCCTTACCCCCCACCCCACTTCTTTCCCCTACTCACTCTGCATTCTCTGCAGGAAAAAATGAAACATTATTATTTCTTTCCCAGACGAGCAAGAAATTTTACCCTTCGTTTCCCCTCTCCTGTGTAGGAAAAAATACAACTGAAGCTGTTTTTCCCGAATGTCAAGTAATGGAACATTATCTTTCTCCTTCCCTTGCCCGAATAACCTTGGTATTTCCTCAGATGACAAGGAATTTATCTTTCTCCCCTTTGAATCATGCAAGGACAAAGAATGCTTGCTATTTTCCTTGATGTCGTGGAATTTAACTTTCCCTTCCTTCTTCTCAACTAGGAAAAAAAAAGATCCACCTTTTTTTCTATACGACAAAAAAATTAACCACTTCTCTGCGTGTTAATAATTTCTTCCGTTGACGAGGAATTTAAAATTTAGAACAGATGTCGCCTCCTCGTCTGGCCAGAGGTAAGGGAAGCACTGGAAATTTGGCAAAAAAGACAGGAAAGATTTTGGCACTCATACACCAGAAAGTGTCAAACAAATTGTGGGCGAGAGCTGTTTATTGACTGATTACCAACTGAAAGAAAACATCGATCAGTTACGTCAGTAAAGAAATGTAACAAAAATCACCTATTATTGAGAGTATATACTTAGACTAATTTTATTTAGCCTCGTATGTATAGAAGGAGATGGTAATTATTTTGCTGATGTATAGGTAATAACAGAGGAGGGAAGACCAACATTGGCTTGAAACACTCCAGAAAACCTGTGGACGAAAGAACATATCTGTTTATTGGAAATCAAATTTTATGGGAGAAGTCGAATGTGGTTCCAATTACAGCAATTGAAGGACAGAGATGGAGAGATGGTTGGACTGGACGGAACAACATAATCTGAGTATTTTCAAGGCGTCTGTAAGTGGTAGAAGTGACTTAGGCTGTATACCACCACTGCATATTGTTTACTATGGCGTATTGTACAGTGGTGCGTTGTGTTGGGCTTAGTGAAATATTTTCTACGCATGTTACCCTCAACTTGTCTAAATAAGATATTTTGTGTAATATTGTGTGAGCAGGGCTGGTACGTGATACATTAAAAAAAAATTGTATGTATGTAGGTATTTTTGCAGCATAATGTGGGAGTTGTTTAATATTAATGTTAGGCTTGTAGTCCTCTAGGGCAGGGGTCACCAAACTTTTTTCACAGTGGGCCGGATAACTGAAAGAATGACGAGCGCGGGCCGCATAATCATTCTGTTCAATACTTGCAAGCCAGAACGAAAGCTCTGGTAACGTCAGAGCGTAGTTTTGAGCTACCACGAGCCGGGGAAGGACTTGGGATCCGGCCCGCGGGCCGTAGTTTGGTGACCCCTGCTCTAGGGTATGGAACTTTTTCAGTCACTGGCTGGCCTTGGGAGTAGGGGGAGGTCTCAGTTTGTCGGTGGTGGATACCTTTTCAAATAGGGTTTAGTTGAGTATTATATTCAGCGCTGTTCTATTATTATTCATGGTGTGTAAAGTACAATCAATTATTGTGTTGTAAGGTGGTTTATTTCTTATACACGATGCCAATAATATGTGTTTATTAAGGATCATGTTTATTCTCCGTTCTCTTGATTTAATTTATCTTATGGAACCTACACACTAATTATGGTAAACTTTTGTCATTAAATTTTATTTAAATCTTTCGCAATGTGTATAATTCCAAACCTTCACTCCTGAACTGTTGGGATAAAGAGATGGCTGTGATTGAACCCATGACTAAGATGTGATGAGTTACCAGTTTGTTTGAGTTTTTTGTGCCATATGTGCCCTCATTAGTAAATAATCTTTAACGTAATTTAAGTTGATAAGTTATAGCATAGCAAAATGGGGGCCTGTGTCCGGGAGTCTTGGGTTATAATTAAGTTAAAATCAGTTAAAATCATCAGGAGTGAAGTTTGCAAATTATTTTGGGTACAAGTTTTCTCCACTAGTCGGTAAATTGCCATATATTGTTTAAAATGAATCCTTTAGACATAGCTAAGTTCATTACTGAACCTTCAGTGTTAAGTTTGTAGTGTAGTACCATTCGTAAAGATGATTGGGTTTCGTTGGCTAAGCATTATAAAGTAGAGATTAAGTCAAACTGGAAAAAGGCAACTGTCAAAAATGCCGTAATTAGAAGTTTGGTGGAAAAGTAAATTTTGGAGGAGTCTGCAGTCCACCTGTGTGAGGTGGAGGAAGATCCGTCAGCAAAGTTAACAGAGATGCAGTTAGAAAGAGAGAAGCTGGAGTGGGAAATGAAGTTAAGGTTGGAGGGAAAAGAAATAGAGGACAGAGAAAGAGAACGGGAGGACAGAGAAAGAGAACGGGAGGACAGAGAAAGAGAACGGGAGGACAGAGAAAGAGAACGGGAGGACAGAGAAAGAGAACGGGAGGACAGAGAAAGAGAGGACAGAGAAAGAGAACGGGTGGACAGAGAAAGAGAACGGGAGGACAGAGAAAGAGAACGGGAGGTCAGAAAGAGAACGGGAGGACAGAGAAAGAGAACGGGAGGACAGAGAAAGAGAACGGGAGGACAGAGAAAGAGAACGGGAGGACAGAGAAAGAGAACGGGAGGTCAGAAAGAGAACGGGAGGACAGAGAACGAGAAAGAGAGGACAGAGAAAGAGAACGTGAGGAGGACAGAGAAAGAGAACGGGGAGGACAGAGAGAAAGTGAGAACGGGAGGACAGAGAAAGAGAACGGGAGGACAGAAAAAGAGAACGGGAGGACAGAGAAAGAGAACGGGAGGACAGAGAAAGAGAACGGGAGGACAGAAAAAGAGAACGGGAGGACAGAGAAAGAGAACGGGAGGACAGAGAAAGAGAACGGGAGGACAGAGAAAGAGAACGGGAGGACAGAGAAAGAGAATGGGAGGTCAGAAAGAGAACGGGAGGACAGAGAAAGAGAACGGGCATTCCAGTTATAGTTGTTGGGTTACATGCTGGTGGATGTAAGGCCCCCTACCCTCACTGATGCAGCTATGGTCAATTTGGTGTTATTCTTGTATATAAATGCCTTCTAATCTGTCTCAAGTCTATCCGTCCTGTCTATTGCCATCCCAAATGTCTGTACTCTTTGTGTCGTCAAATCTGTCTGTCTTATCCGTTGTTGGCGTGTGTCTGCCTGTTTGTCTAATGTGTACCAGTCAGTCAGCTGTCTGTCTGTCATGTTAGTTGCCATATTGTCTATTTGTGCATCTATGAATCTGTCTATTTTTGTCAACCTCCTGTCTGTTTCACTGTCTATATTCACCCTGTGTCTATTGCTGTCATCTTCTCCGTGCATTCCTGTTATTATCTTTTTATTTCATCTCCTTTTCCATGTACAATCAGCCACAGGACTAAGTATACACTGTAGCTGTAAGGTCGTCTGGTAACGTTGAAACTGCGCATCCAGACGCATGATGAAACTCAGCTCCCCCCCACCTGTTATCTCTAACTATTTTCTGTTTCCCCTTCTTTATTCTTCTATTAACTCATCTTCCTTCCTTTACTAATCCAAACAACATTAAAGAAAAAGTAGGCTCAGAGAAAAAGTGGGGTGAGAAGGAGGGAGCCGTACGATAACTGCAATCGTGGGCTGACAGAGTACAGCGAATGAGGGTGCGCCAAGTCCGTAGACTTGGATCTTTTTCCAGTGTAAATAAAATGGATAATTAATGCCTTCCTAAAGAAACCATCGACATGGGACCAGGTTTGTTTCACTCTACGATTTTTTTTGCGATTTTTCCACCAAGTTTGATGAAAAACGATTGTGCCGTTTCGGCTGCCCAGAACAGACACACAGACACACACACAGACAGACAGACAGACACACGGCTATTCCAATAGTATATTAGATAATGAAGGCCTTCAACATTGGAAAGAGCACTATCATCTACTGGTCAAGCGAAACATCGATGTGGATGTCCTGACTACCCAGCAGGTGCCTCATTATCCAGAACTGACCCACCTCAGCTAACATCCATCCCTGGATGACATAGCTACTGCCATCAAACAGATGAAAAATAACAAAGTCTCAGGGCCTGATGGAATTCCAGCCAAGGTGTATAAAGCAGGAGGACCTCTACTTACCAGCTGTCAAGGCACTTGAAAACTTTCACCAACGTAGTCTACGGTCTATCCTTCGAGTTCTCTGGGAAGACAAGAGAAAAAATGCCAGTATTCTTGCAGATGCCAACTGTAGAAGCATCGAGGAAACCATTACAACTACTCTGGACTGGCCATGTTACCCTCCTGGACGACAGTAGACTGCCAAAGCAGCTACTTTATAGTCACCTAACGAATAGTAAATGTAATGCTGGCGGGCAACTGAAGAATTATCAAGATAGTCTTAAGACAAACCTGAAAAAGTGCCAAATAGTCTCCTTGACATTGGAGACAATTACTCCGCACCATAACACTTGGAGGAACACCATACAAGAGTGTCAATACTTTCGAGTTAGCCTGACTGCATAACGAGGCAGACAAGCGCCAATGCCAGAAAGACGCTGGCACCGCCCCTCCCACACTAGATGTAGCCCCCATATATGCCACTTCTGTGATCGACCCTGCCAGTTCCATATCGTCCTCTTTTGTCACCTCAGAACTCCCCAACATAGGTAACCAACGAAAATTCATCGTCTCATCAGTGTGTGTCAATGAAAAATCTCATATTCCAACTTTTCCCTAGTAATTACACTTCATTAATTCGTGGGCCTCAGACTCAAACTTCCGGTTATTTAGAACTCATTACGCGGACCAACTTCAGCATTCCAACTCTTCCTTAATTACCCATCATTAGGCAAGCAATTTCACACACAAAGTTCTTGGTAATGATGCATCATTAGCTGAGCCTAGTTAACTCTGCCTGGGTCATATATTGTCCGCCACACTCTCCCTCTCTTCTGTGATATTGGCAGCAGAATCTTACTGTTATT